AGCGTATGATCGCGCCAGATTCAAGCAGCGGTTGCACATCGATAACGATGGCAAAAGATCCAGGTGAGCTGCGAGCTTACAGATCGCAGCACGCAATGAGCGGCGCAGATTCTGCAGCATCGAGCAGGGCTCATAACCTGTTGAACCCGGGGGGGCGAAGGCCTCTCCCACGGGTGGCAACGACAGCGGATAGCCTGCAACTCACCTAGAAGGGTTGTTGGTTGTAAGAGGCTTGTTAGAGCGATGAGAGGAGATGTTCGAGTGAACTGAACTGTAGATTGGGGGTACAGAGGTCCCCTAATATACTACTGTACATCTGTGGCTACATAGTACTATACAGTACATTCCCAGGATGCACAGTCGCACAGAGAAGCAGTGCGTACACAGCGAAGCTGTGTGTGTACCACATGAGTAGTACAGCCTCGGTTATTGCAGTAACCGGCTGTGCCGTTCCATATCTTGTGACGGCTGGATTAGGCAAGCTGTGTAAACCAGCGCCTGTTCAACAGTAGGGGGAAGAGCAACGCGGCACACGGAGAGATACCGTCGCGCGAGGATGCATGGACTACACTGATTTTGATATCACAGATGCCCGAAGGCCTGACCGACTCAAGAATCTACCCTGGAATCGACCCGTAGAAACGTGGGGTGGTCAAAGTGCCCACACGAATCCAGGACGATTCCAGCCGACAGAATCACTGCAGAATCGCTCGACGAACCGTCCTCCGAACCGCCATCTTTGACTACCCCTAATATATCCTCGACAGATCAACGTAACCACTTCATTCTTGCGTATACAGGCTCTGGAGTACGGCGCACAGGACATGGTATTGGATTCAAGTTGCGCCAACACGACGTGACCAACTTCTGGGCACTCCCGCTTTTCCAGCTCCCTACTGGACTCGGACAGCGCTGGTGGCTGAATGGTATAGTGTATTTCTCCGGAAACTGTCGGGATGGTGAAGACAACATGCTACCGAAAACTCTGTATTAAAAGCAGTGTGTCCTGCTACAAGAACGTCCACTATAGGGTGGGCTTGGGTAGCAGTCCATCAGCAAAACTGCATTATGATTGGCTTGCAGCACGTTCGAGGCCATTCAAGAATATGTCGCCCAAGTTGTCCATCCGATTGTCACAAGCATGCTAAGTTCTCTCTGATTCCACTGCAATCCAATAGGGATAGTATAATATATTCAAAGCCAATCAGGCCAATTGAAGCCAATTGACACCGCCGCTTGCCCCGAAGAGCTTCAATTTTCACGACTATCTTCAGATATGCTTGATTGGTTCCGAAGTTCGCTAGATTGCACAAATAAGAACCCTTATGTAATCACATGTTGTGGCAATTCCGCTCAATTTGGGCATATAACTGGAAATATGGTATTGCATGGATATGACGTAATCTACAACAAGATACAGGAGGTACGCCGTGCGCGCAGTAGACTACGACAGCTATATGTGAAAATATCGCACATATCCGGATTGACTCACCGACAATTGGACACACACATGGACGCACCGGTACATGGGAGAAATGCAAAAGATGCGAAGCGCCACCAACGGCAAGACATACGAACCAGACATTATCACGCAACGTCACCCGTGCCGCCCGAGGGATGTACGTACCTTCGCGACTTATATGCGGTGATCATGTCTGATTCCAGCCTGCTTACCTTATTCCTCAATGGTGTGATGACTTACCTTGGCGGCAGGTGTGGTATCCGCAGGGAAAGGACGCCTCCCATTCAGAACAATGAGGAGAGTACAGCGGGGGAGATGGGAGTCCGGACGAGAGAGTTGTCAAGAGTCGGATGGGATTAGCTTGGCATTATCTATCAATCGTAGCGTTGCGTCATAGGTAATATATGACGTTGCACGTCAAGCTGTTGGGGGCTGAATCGGGGCAGGGGCGTTGGTCTGCCCTAGAGGGTTGTGCGATATTCTATACATGGACGTTTGGGGCAATTCATTCTGCAAATGTTAATCGATTCCCCTTCAATTGGGGCTAAGCATGATTCGCGCCAATTTTGAGTGCCGTGGCCAATTGAGCCAACCGTAGCCAACCATTTTGCACTTTTGCTGATGTCCTTGGGCCAGCTCAAACTCCTCGTCGGGAGGCACGAGACGCCATGAATTCATGACTTATCTGCCCCTCCATAGTCTCCGTGGTCTTGCAAGGCATCGGGTAGTCACTAGCACTGCTGAGTAGGAGGGAGGAACAGGCGAGGTGGATAGATTGGAGCTGCAAATGAGAGCTTGTAGAATACTACAATTTGGCAATTGATACGATTTCGATGGTTTTTAGGCGTGCAGTGGACTTATGTGACACGTTTCATAGCAAAGATGCATTAGGCGTGTTCAATTCTTGTCGCTCGCTCATTTCCTCGCGCGCCTACCGGGCGTCTGCCTACCTGGATTCAAGGTCAGATCAAGCGCCTGTAGCACAGCGAGCAGAGGTGCGCAGGCAGCGGGTGCAACACGACCGCATGAGCGTCGCGAGCTGGGACTGAGGAGCGACGCGAAAGCTTAACGATTTGAAAGATAGAGAGCTCCATGACTCGAGACGCGGAGTCGCCCGCAAGGTTTGAGTCCAATTGCCATCAGGCTTACAGTGGCAACCCCAGGTGGCCAGTGAACCGTGTCGTGCCGAATCTGGTTCCGATTTGGGCGCATTGTGTACAATTATTCTCGGTCAACAAGTCTATAACGATCTGCCGACGTCTCCATCCACTTTCTGGACAG